ATAAACAAGTATCTACTAAATAAATATTATAGTTATTAAATTTTAATGATAGAATGAGCACAGTATAAAAGTAAACAGCTAGCACAATCTATTTAACACCAATGTACTAAGAAGAAAGTGAACACCATCATCGGACTGCTCTCGCTGTGTCACTGCTTGTACTCCGCACTCCCCACGCTCCCCCAGAGGAGTGTGTGCCAGCTCAACCACAGGGAGCCTTCTACTGTCAGCCACGAAGACCCACTGGTGCGCACCTCCCTCACCCTTCAGGCTGGGAGGCTCCTCCTGCGAGGCTCTGGCCACCGTACCCACTGGCTCAGAGCTGTGTGAACAGCACCCGGATGCTGCTCCCAACACCTCAGCTTTCTCCTCTGCAGCCACTCAGCGTCCCACATCATTCTTCCTCCTCGTCTGTGCCCCGCTCCTCCATCTGAGTGGGGTGCACACACTGCATTCCAGAAAGAACTCCCTCTAAGTACATCTTGCCCACACATGGCCTGGATACAGGGACAGCCAGAGGGACACAGCCCACAGCCCATAAGCCAGCACAGCCAGAGAGAACAGCATGATGAGGAGTAGCCTTTGCAGCACTGTGCGCAGCTGCAACTTCAGGCAACGATGGTGGACTGACAACTGCTAGGCAAGTGTCACCCCCGGCTGAACCGAGTCGGCATGGTGCTGGGTGTGGGCGGTCCGCCTGAGGAGTGCTGCTAACAGCATTACAGGAGAACTGCAGAAGAGGAGAGGCTGAAGGGAGCTGCAGGTCCTCCTGGATTAGCTCGTCCTGCTGGCCTTCCTGACGAGCTTGGCTGCGCTCACTGGCCAAGGGGCTCAGGACCTGGCCGGCACTGAGAATGGCTGCGGCTCGCTTCGGGAGTGCCGGTCCTCACTTTGAGCGTCGCTTCCTGGCTCCAGAGGGCAACACAGCGCACTGCTCCGTCTCCTGGAGAAGCCTCTCGTGCTGGCTTTCCTGATCTGGACTTGGCTGTTCTCGTGGTCGGGGAAGCTCGGGACCTGTCACTGAGGATGGCTGCGGCACTTTTCAGAGGAGCTCTGGTCCTCACTTTGAGTGCTACTTCCTGGGTCCAGTGCAGATCCCCAAGCCCGCTGGCAGACTTTCCAGCTTCTGCCACTGATCTCTGGGCCTTCCCCATGCAAATCCTGAAACAGGCCTGCACGAGGCACTGTAACAGGCTGTTAGGTCTTCAGCTGACTCACGTGGGGCACTGCCGTGGGATCCAGGCCCTCAGCTGGAATTTGTGGGTCTCTAGTGTGTAGACAGATTTCCTGCAGTCTCTTTGCATTGGACTCTCTGGGTGACTATTATAACGTAATGTGTCCTCTATCAAACTGATTTCCTTGCAAACCCTGACTGCAACAGACACTGAGCAGGAACTCGGTCCGCAGTGAACACCGCCCTCCTCCCGTTAGGAACCTGCTGGGCAGTGCAGGAGGCACGCTTACCTCTCCTCGGGTGACCGGGGACACTGCTGGCCTGCGTGTGATAGGCGCCGTCCCTCTGCACGCAGACCAGGTGGGAATCTGCCTCGGCACTGAAGCTCGCGCCAATGCTGATGACATGCTCGTTAGAAGAATTCAGCACTTTCATCACCTGGAAACAATTCCAGTGATGTTTTTAAACTAAAATTGCCTCCATTACCAGGTAAAACAATAAGGAAAAAGATTGTAAAAATACGATTAAACAAATTCTAAAATTTTAAAAATATTATTTGTAACCCCAATTAAAATAAAAAATGCAATTTGACACAATTCTACAAAACTTCTAACATTCAACATTTGTCCTTAAAAACCTTACTAACAATTATACTTACATCACTGTATTTTTTCCGAGGTATTTTTATACAACTCTTCCCCATTTCCATATGAATCAACAGCTGATCTATGTTATGCAAGGTGTACTGGTAATTTCGAAGATCCTACACAAAAGAGTCACAATCCATGAACCTTAAGCTACTGTCCATAATTATTCAGTATCCATCACTTTTGAAAACATTTTTTTTATTTTAAGGCATCTGACTGCGAGCTGAAAATGCACAGGAAAGCCGGCTGCCGTGGAGCCCCTCCCTGCCGCTATCTCCCAGCAGCACAGAGCTCTCGCTGGGTGTGCTGCAGCCTCAGGCTGCCCCTTTCCAGGCACAGATCTTGCAGGGCAGACACCTGCGCCACGGGCCGAAGCCCAGGGACTTATGGGAGGTGATGAACCTTGGGGGCCTGGAGAAGGGGCTGAGGTCTTAGGGGTGCCCTGAGGGGATGGCGGGCTTCCCTTTGCAGCTCTCTGCTTCTCTTAAAGGTGAACAGGCTGCCCCAGCAACCCCTGTCACAACACAATGGGCCATGGGTCCCAAGCAAGGGGCCAAGCATCCTTTTCTCAAAGCCCTAAGCCAGAAGCCCAAAGCAAGCCTCCCTCCTCATAGACTGTCTCGGGCATTCTGTCACAGGAACAGATAGCTGAGAGGGAAAAAACTGGACAGGGATGAAAAAAACAAAACAAAAAACCAAGCTCACTTAGCTCCTTCCAGAGTAACAGACTGTTAACAGATAAAATTCCATGGACTAGGTGGGAGGAAACTTCCTCAATCAATCTTCACCCACAAATGAGGAAATGAAAGCCATAATTTGCTCAAAACCATAAAACTGACTTAAAATAACACTTTTACTCATGTTACAGGTCTATGTAGAGATCTCACATTATCTAAATATGCAAGAACTGCAGCAGAACTAATCAAAAGGCAGTTAGAATCAGGTACATGTAAGTGAAGAGCTACTCTGTCCTAAAAGAAGCAACTCATCAAAGCAGCCCAATGAAGTGGACGAGGATGAACTGTAATGAGCTGCCATTATACCAAACATGCCCAACTGAAACAGGAAAATATCTGTGTGAAATTTGCTAAATAATTTTAAAAGTAACAGTATGAGAATATTTAATAAAATAGTCAAGTACTTACAACAAGTAAGTTCATAATAGTATGTCCTATTTCTCCAAACAGAGGTTTTCGGCCTCTGACACTTGTTAGAGGGGCAGGATATGCTGCACATGAGAGAAAACCTGGTTATCACCAAGGAAGATCAGAACGTCGTCACCTCTTACCCTCCTTCTCACCTTTCAGACAGATGTCATAGGTAAGCAGTGCCCAGCCGGGTCCCAGGGTGAGGGGTAGAGGCCACATCTCCCCTGCCCAGGCACACAGGCTGTGCTGAGCCCAGGGCCCTAAGCCCACACCCTACACCCTACACCCTACACCCTGAGGCGGATGTCAACCTAGAGCAATCCAGTAAGTCAGCGCTCTACATAACCAGTTTACAGATGGGAAACTAGTACATTTGCTCACAATGGTTAAGTTAACCAGGAGGCAGAGGCTGCACACTTGCTTTTCTGGAGGGCACTATCCGGCCTCAGCCCTGAAGGGAAAGCCACGCTGCTTGCTAGTGCGGAGGGCAGCAGGCACTGGAAGCAGAGAGGTGGGCAGGCAGGCGGGCGGCCGCCCACAGTGCCGAGAAGGCGACACCGGCAGCTTCAGTTCTCAGCTGAAGTCACAGGCTGCAGCCTCGCCAGTGTCCACTACCCACACACCGCCCAGAGGCGTGAGAACTCCACATGCTGACACTACCCAGTTTACAGACTCAAGCCAGGCAATCTCATCCTGCCAGCACACACAGTTTGCAATTTTAAAAAGACTAAGTGATTTGGAGGGCAGAAGGCCCACACTGGGAAAAAATGTAAAAGACATGAATGCAGTGTTAGGAGATGTTACAGTGAGAAAGATGTGCTCGGGATGAACGCCCACTTTTGGCTCACGCTTTATGAACGGGGAGCATCCTTTGCAATCCGGCCTGGATGATTTTGCTTGCAACACTGTGCTCAAGCCAAGCGCAGCTTCGGAAGATGCACTGTGCCCATACTGCGGGTGCGCGGCGACCCTAGCAGCTGGCTAATCCTACAGGTCAGGAGACCGCACACAAGTCGCCTCAGTGCCAAAGTACAGCTCACTGCGTTGGGAGGGTGCCGATTTAAGGTTAGTTTCGGCCTAATGGCTGCCCTTAGCTTTTCCAACTGCCTGTGTAACAAAATCCAAGTCGTCACACAGTGAGGCACTGTTACCTGAAAGCCAGCAGAACAGGAAGAAGAGGGAAAACAGCGGGAGGAGCCTCTCCTCCTAGCCGAGAACCTCCCCGCCCTGCCCCCCACCCCAGCGAATGCACTGGTGGCCTGCCCACCCCCTGCCCTCTGGGGAAAGCCCTGCCTGCTGCTGCTGGACTTCTCAGCCTTCTGTGCGCGGAAAGCAGGCCTGCTAGCCTAAGCGCCAGCGCCCAGGTCTTGGCCATGATAAACCTCCTCTGCCTGCCCTCAGCCTCAGTAAAAATCGCCCCTAAGACACAGCCTTCAAGTATTATGATCAAAAACAAGTATTAGGCTGAATGGAGGAAATACCATAGAATAAGATGTTTTAAACTCTTTGGTTTACACAGAACAAAACCTGGGTTGTTCGTTTTTACACAAGTTAACAGAATTAGGTACTTAAATTCTAATTGGTAAGGAACGCCTATCAACAAAATTATACATTTTTCATAAAATTTAACAGAGGAATTTAATTCTTCCACTTAAACTGCTCACCCCAAAATAATTATTTTTATATCTTATATTGCATAGGCAATCCATTATTACTACTTTTTTTAAAGGCCAGTGGTAGGCCTGGGATACAGCTCAGCAGCATAGTGCCTGGCAGTCAAGCACAAGGTCATGAGTTCCATTCCTGGTATCAAAAAAACAAGTTAAAGGACAGGGATAAACCTACATAGAAATTCCAGAAAAATTAAGACTAG